AGCGGTGCCATGTCCGTGCCCAGGATCCGAACTGGGAAACCCTGGGCCGCAGAAGGGAAGCACGCGAACTTAACTACTCAGCCATGGGGCCGGCCCCCAAAACCACATTCTTAATGCCAAATTACTAACAATAATGCCAAAATAAACCCAGGATACACAGAAACAGAAAGTTTCCTAAACAGACAGTAGGAAAATAAACTGATACTTTTAATCTAACAATTCAACATCTAAGAACTCATCCTAAATGAGTTCAACATTTGTTTCTATAAGGAAAACTGTTTCATTACTCCTAATGGCCAAAGGAAAACGACAAAAACAAACAAACAAAACCAAAACAAACCCACAAAGCCTAACTATCCAATGATGGGGGACTAATTAAATCAAATGCCATATAATCATTACACAGATTATAATGTATCCATAACAAATGACAATATAAAGAACATTTAATAACACGAGGAAATATTTATTATATACTAAGGAAGAAAAAGAATACAGAACAGCAAACCGAAAACAAAATCAAATGGGAAAATACATATAGACACAACAAAACATCTGGAATGATATATGTCAAAGGGTGATCGGTTATCTTTGGGTGGTGGTATTAAAGGTAATTTATATATTGTTTCTGTGGGTCTATATTTATAAATATCCCAGAATAAACTTAAGGGGATTTTTCAATCAGAAAAAATATATATCCATTTTTAAGTGAAATTTTGAAATAGGTGAAACAGCTTCACCTCCTATCCAAAGGGTCAAATCATATCACTTTTACTCTGAACCACAAATCACATGTTAACACAAGGTACAATTTTAATTAATGTTTGATTTTTACATAATAAAAAAGACTAACAGAAAAAAAGGTAAACACACTTAAAAATGCATCAAATTTTATTACCTAAACTATTTAAGTCTTTCAATAATATGTAAACAAGATAAGAATCATTCCACATCCACAAAATCACCTAATGTGTGAAAAAACACTTTCAAACGTCCGCCCAGTTTTCGTATTATACATTAAAATCTTAAATTTAAACATAAAATATATCTAAATATCACTCCCTCTCTCTGTCCTAACATTATAGCACTTCTTATTTATATTCCCAATTAGGCACATTATAGTCACATGAAATACCGAAGTAGCTTTGGTAACAGAAGTCAGAAGGCCCAAGATCAGAATCCTATCTCCTACCCTTTCAACTCTTGGACCTGGACAAGTTAACTTACCTCTCTAAACCTCAGTTTCTCTAGGTGTAAAATAGAATGATAATATTTAACATAGAGTTTTTGTGAAGACTAACAAAAAACACAGGCTAAATACTAGTGGTGGTTGTTACTAGAGGCACATCCAATAGTTCTGAACTCGGAGAACTTGCCAAGACTCTTGAAAACTATATGACCTTGGAAAACTTACTTAACCTGTAAGGACTGGCTTCAGTGTCCTCATCTGTAAAACAAATCTAATACCTATCTTGCAGGTTTGTGTTCAGGATTAGGCAAAACCATATAACAAAAATCATCTCGCAGACAAATTGCAGTTAGTATCACTATTAGCTACAGCAATAAACATTTGCATACACGAACTAGCAGTTTATAAAATATTTTGACATATAAGAGTACATGTAATTCTAAGAATTAATCATTTAAATAAATGTATTTCTCTTAACTCCCAACTTAGTTGTAAATTCCAGAAAAAGTAAAATACAGGGAAACTATTTTAAGCACACTGAAAAATAAAAGGCCACTATGTTAGTTTCAAAGTAAAATACGTTATCTATAACTAGATCTGCTTTAACATTTTTAAAGTCCAAATAAATCTAAAAGGGTTAAAAGGAAAAAAATTCTAAGTCCTTGGAAAGAAAATAGAGACTTCACATCTTTACAAAACTAAAATCTAAGTGCCTTTAATACAAGAACGCTTTCCAATCTCTGAATTCGTCTCTCTACCTTTGTGCAGAAGCAGAACGGCACTACAGAAGACCACGGAAAGTGGAGCCAGACTGCCTAGGTTTGAATCCCAGCTCCATCTAACAGTGTGACCTTAGGTAAGTTTTAATTTCTCAATGCTTGTTTCCACCACCAAAAAATGGAGATTCCTGGCCCTGGCCTGGTGGCATAGTGGTTAAGTTCGCAGGCTCCAATTCGGCAGCCCAGGGTCTGTAGGTTAGGATCCCAGGTGCAGACCCACACACCACTCATCAAGCCATGCTGTGGTGGTGTCCCACATACAAAACAGAGGAAGACTGGCACAGATGTTAGCTCAGGGACAATCTTCCTCCCCAAAAGACAAAAAAAGGGGATTCCTCATACAATTGTTGTGGGGATTAAATGAGTTAATACACTTAAAGTGTTCATAAGAGCACCTAGCATATGGAAGGCACATTATTATAAGTGTTTCCTACTCTTGTTATCCCCTCAAAATGCCTACCTCTGTGACTTGTAATCAGTAAACTTCTAATCAATAACTACTTGCTTCTCTGTAAACAATTTCAACAAATGGCTTTACTTAAAATTAGACCTGCTTAGGAAGTACCTTAACATGACTGTCACTGCCAGTTAAAGATACAGCAATTGCTATTAGAGAGGATTTTAGGGCACAGGTAAATAAAGTCAATCCCTTTCTCACACTTCCTATCATACAAACATATAACATCCTTACTTGCTAATGGAAGTTCAGTACCAAAACGGTTTTACAATTGAGGCATGGCACACACCAACCTGGCAGACAGAAAACTCTCAAACTCAAGCTCCATAATACTCAACTACACTCCTTCAAAGAAAAAAGTTCAGACTACCCTTCTATTATAATAGTTTAGTCCTTTAAAATAAAAACTATACTGCATAAATCAACAGAATATCATAAGGATTAAATAAGACTGCAAATGGAAGAGTCTGAAAGTTAAATATGCATTAAATACAAGTTTATGAACACATTTAAGAAAATTATAACAAATTTCTCCAATTAAACAGCTGCCTTCTAACTCCAAAACTAGTGCTCTGTCCACTTCAAATCAGGGGCCGGGATAGTAAGACAAACGTCAGAGTAAAGTTGCCATCGCACTAAATCATTCCCTGCTTGAAATGTACCATTCCTTTTTTATTCATAACTCAGACAGAACTAGTGATACCCGAGTCTCATCCCTACACTAGAAGTTTAAGCAGTGAAATCCTAGAAACAGCCTAACTCAAGAGGAGGAAAATGTCTCCAGTCATTAGATCAAAAATGCCACCCCAATTCCTAACTGTCTGTGATCCTAACCTGGCTAGAGAAAAACGCTGATTATCCTCAGATTCAAGAATTTGTTAGCCCTGAAAACCCAAAGGCAAGTACCTACGACCACATTTCAACTCCAGCTGAGGGCTAGAATCTTTACCTGGCTCACTCCCAAATTAAAAGTTGGATTCCGGCATCAATCAGGGACACAGCCATCCAGCAGCCATCAACAGGCCACACGGCCCAGATCAGACCACACAGCACTTGGCACCCTTGACTAGACCGGATCCTACTGAAGGCCTGATTGCCAACCCTTGATCTAGCCAATAGGACAAGGGGCTGGCAGTGAAGACAGAGTCTTCTAGTCACAGCTTCATTTTGAGATTGACTGATATGACTGGAGAAATCAAATTTGAGAATTTCTGAAATATGGTTGGAAAACTTCCTTGAACATGCTTCACAGATTTAGTCACTTTATTTTTTCAGTAACATAAAAATACACTATTTGTAACTTGTTTGGTTCATAAAGTCATTCCTGGGCTTGTGAGATGATGGTCCAGGGGGAAAACCAGCTCTTGTCTTCAGGGTCTGCACAGATCTTAAAACTTTACTAAGCCAGTTTCTCTATCTGTATGCAAAACTCGAGTTAGATCTCCTCCTTCTCTCAAGATAAGCTAAAGGTAAGTAAATACTGTATGAAAGTACTTTCAGCATTTCTGAAGGAATCTGCTACAGAAAACATACGGCAGTAATGCACTGGAACTCTTTTTCACACCTAAATCGGGAATCCAGACCAAGCCGGCGCTGGAAGTCAAATTTATTCAAGACAAACTTTTCTGTCTATACTTGAGTTTCTGGGTCGGGAAACGGGTCTGTATCTATACAAATCCACTTCAGAGCCATCATATAATGGAACTCTTCTGTAGCGTCCCTCCTTCCCGCTATCTCTTCCAAGAACTGCCAGCCGGAAAAGACACCCTGTGTAAATCCTACGACGTCTCCCGCCTTGCAAGGATTCAGATGGATTCCACAACTTTCCAGCCTTCCGTGACTTTGACCTCTCCTCCAGAGCGAATCACTTTTAACGACCCTACCACCACCACCACCACCACCACCTTCTCGGGAACAGTCGCTCCTTTTCTCAGCGTTACACTTTGTCCCGACAGCAATCGACTGAACGGTCCCCGGTCTCCGGCCGCCTGGGATGACCTCAGACATCTTCACCAGCCGGCCCGCCGCCGGGACCCCGAAAGCTCCGACTCCTGCCCCACCTCCCCGAGCCGCCTCCCCCCGAGCCCTCCTCAACCCCCAAGTCCCCGGCGTAGCATCACCCGGTTCCCCGCCGTCCTACGCGCTGCGGACCAGCCACCCACCTCGCCTCTTGCCCCCGACCTCGCTCTCCGGACCCTCAGCCCTCCCTGAGGCGGCGGCGGGAAACGCTCTCGGCCGCTGGACCGAGACTCCGGAGGCCGCGCGTCCCCCTCACCAGGCCCCGCCTGGGCCTCTCGGCTCGGCCGCCCTCCACCGCCCCCTGGCCCAGCTGTGCTGACGCCGAAGAGTAGGCAGCACGAGCCCGGAACCCAGCACTTACTCGGGAAGGTAGGTGGAGGAGAAGGAGCTCCACTTGTGTAGCGCGTAGGGGAGAAGCCGGCACTCGGGCGCCGCAGCGACAGCCCCGCCAGCCGCCATCTTGTCAGCACCGTAGCGGCCGCCACCGACCGCCGGCCGCGCCGGGAGGAGGGAGGGGCGGGGCCTGCTCTTAAAGGGGCAGCCGCCCGCCGGGGCCGTCCGCTCGCTGGGACTCGCCTCCTTACCCCCGCGGGGAGGGGTGAGGCGGCCGAGCGTCCGCGATTTTCTCCTGGGGTCTCCGACGCCCGACCCTCCTTAATGACTTGCCCAAACTAGCACTGGAGTGTGGGCACCTGAGGGGCTCTCCGGCGGCGCTCGGCAGGGAGTGGCTAAAGGACTTTTCTCCCAAGCTGAAGTAAGGAAAAAGGCAAGAAGAATGTTATGAAAAGAAAGAAATTGTAGTGTGGGGCCAGGAAGGGGAAACTAGAAGACGAACTTGGACAGAGGACGCCTTTGCGAGTTTGGAAGCCGCTGCCCTCTCCAGTTTATAAATCCTTTAGGGAACCAGCCTCGAGGGGAATTGGAGTGGAACAGCCAATGTCCTTTCCCTCTGGAGTTGTCCTGGTTTTAAATGTCTTGTCCCGTGTTTCAGAGTCACATGGAGACTGGAAAAGGAAATGCTCGGCGTCCTCTCACCCTGTTCTGTTTTGGGTCCGCGATGCCCTTCTCACTGTAAACATTGGTTGTGAGCCATCTGGTCCTAATCCTGTGGAATTGGTCTGCTCAGTAATGACATTCCCCCACAGACCAGAAAAATCCTCACGGAGCTGGGAAGCTGTGTGTCGTCATGTTTCCAGGTGGTAAAGCTGCCCGCTTTTAACTCTGTCAGAAATTTGGCCCAAAATTTCAGAAAGAGCCAGAGAGAGGGAGAGTTTCTCGAAAAAGACCACGGGGAGAATAACAGGCTTCTGCTCTGAATGCCCTATGAGCGTTAAGCCAGCTTCTCATTGAAAAAGGTCACTTGATCTTAGTATCTGGCAACTTTAGAAAGCGCTCCCATCAAGTACCTGTTTGTCAAGGTTGGCATGTTTACTCCTTGGCTTGGCCACTGCAATTGCCAAAGTCCTCACAACTCACTGTCTAAGAGATTCTACCCCTGAAAGCCCGGACACTGTCTTCATCTGCACCTGAGGATGGAAGAAATGTAAAGGGTTCCTCAGTGATGACCAAGTAAGTCGAAAGGCCTGAGTAATTGTAGTCTTTTGCCGTTCTAATCATTCACCTGCCCAGGTTTCCTCAAATCCTTTCCTGACTTCCCGTTTCCACAGGGGAAAACATATTAGTGTTCTGCACTGGCATATCAGGTCAAGAATGCCAAATAGAAAAGCCACGATATGTTAGCCTTTAAAATCACATGTGCTTTGGTGTGTTACAGCATGTCGGAAAAGGATTTGCTGCTGGAGGGAATGCTATAACCCCAGTGACTCGAGCCGGGAGTCCAGAGACAGTGGGAGAGGCCAGAGAAGGTTAGTCCCAAAGATGAGTACTGGTTATCTTCGGGGGAAAGAGATACTTTTAAGGGGTGAAGATTAAGATGGTGACTCAGTTCAATTAGTTTGGGGCCCTGAATTTGCTAATTCTTACCCTAATGTAAGTAGAGTCCTTGTTCTTTTCCAGAAATAGAGGTATGGTTCCTGTGTGATCTTTTTAAAAAACACATTTAAGCTAGTTTTTCCTAAGAAGACTTTCTGTGCCTTTCAATGACTTTCCATGCCTTTGGGTAACATCAAAAGTCCTCAGCAGAGGCCTTGCCTATCCTGCCTTGATTACCTCTCCAGCCTTCTTTCTCTCTCCTTTTTCCTTTACATTCTTGACTCTAGCCACAATAAACTAACACACTGAATTGTCTCCTTTAACTTCTGTGCTCTCTCTGGCCTCCAGGGCTTAGTCTAAGCCAAGCCGGGAATACTCTCCCCCATTCTTCACCTGGCTAACTCCTGCTCGTTTTTCAGATTATTTCTTCCTGGAAAAATCATTCCTCATCACCTATTTTGGGGGTATGTGCTATTTTCTACATTTCCCTGGGCACCCTGAGTTTCCCTCCTTATCTTAGCAAAAATCACAATATATTTTAATTTCCTCTTTATTTCTCATTCTCCCTCCCTAAAGTATAACTCCCGTGAAGGTAGGAGTCATGTATATCTTGTTCACAGTTGTATCCTCAGTCCTGATAGAGTGTCTAGCACATAGTAGATGTTCAATAAATATTTACTGAAGAATAAATGAATTGTGCTGAAAGAGAACTTGGGTTGCAAAGAAAAAGAATGCCAGAGCTCCTCAGACTGCAAACATCTATCCCTGAGGTATGATTGCCACAGAGTATGTAAAGACCCAGGATAGCATGGCTTTCCTACAGCACAGATTTTACAAATGGTAAAATAATTTAAAACATTCATATGTTAACATAAACACAGATAAATATGATACTGAACCCAAATTTATGTAAATGTTAAAATAAAATAGAGGACTAAGGGGCCAGGCGTGAAGGCCCAGTGGTTAAAGTTTGGCACGCTCTGCTTCAGCAGCACGTGGTCAGCTCCTGGTGTGGAACCCCACCACTCATCTGTCAGTAGCCATGCTGTGACAGCAGCTCACACAGAAGAACTAGAAGGGCTTACAACTATGTACTGGGGCTTTTGGGAAGGGAAAAGAAGAAAAAAGGAGAAAAATTGGCAACAGGTATTAGCTCAGGGTGAACATTTCCTAGCAAAAAAAAATAGAAGACTAAAGAAATGTTAAAATCTGCAGGAGTCTGCTCATAGCTCAGATCTCCTAGGGATATACCTTTACCTCCTCTCCCTTTGGCGCATTGCCTTAGGTGGTGGGGTTTATTGTAAGGATACTTGGGGAAGGCCTGGAAACTATCACGGCCATTTAGTCCCTCTAGTTCCCCCACACTTCAAAAATTGGGACACATTGATGGCCTCCTCGAGAACTGGACAATGGATCATCATTTTTCAGGGACCAACAGATCTAGTGACCCAGTCACCTTGTCATCCCCTAAAAGCAATCATCTTTTACTCTCTGATGACTTCTCGGTAGGCTTCTCATAGTAAATACTTCCCAGAGAGACAACATTGTATTTGGTTTGTCACCATTCACTATAATTTTCCTGCAAAAAAAAAAAAGCTTTATTGAAAGGCTGTGATATGCCAGGCCCTGTCCTAGATACAAGGGAGACAGGGATAAACAGAGAAGTCAGACAAGGGCCCCATTTTCATGGAGCTTACATTCTAGTAGGGCCACATATAATAAATATAATAAATACGTCAACTAGATAATTTTAGTCTGTGTGTTTTAAGTCCTAAGAAAAAACTACATCAGAGTAATATTTAGATTGGATGGTAAAGGAAAGCTTCTCTAAGAAGGTAATATTTGAGCTAATACCTATACAATGAGAAAGTGCCAGCCATGCAAAGGCTAGATAAAAAACATTCTAGGCAGAGAGAATAAACAAGTACAATGGGCCCGATTCAGGAAAGGGGTTGGTGTGTTCAAAGAATAGAAAGTGTGGCTGGAGCATAGTGACAGGGGGAGAGAGGAATCAGAACAAGGAGGGCCCTGACAGTCATGGTAAGGAGTCATGACATGGAATTGTGAAGAGGAGACCTGCACAGGGATTCAAGACAAGGAGTAGCATGATCCACTTTACATTTTATAAAGATCGCTCAGCACAACATAAAATGGGTTGAAAAGAGGCAAGAGTTGAAGTGAGGAGACTTGACAGGAGGTTATTATAGGAGCCAGGCAAGAAATGATGGTGGCTTGGACTAGCAGAGGAGATGGAGAGGAGTGGTTGAATTGGGACATATCTTAGAAGTAAAGCCAACTAGACTTGCTAATGAGGGAAGGAAGGCAGGAGGCAAAGGAAAGAATCAAGAATAACTCCTGGGGGCCGGCCCCATGGCCAAGTGGTTAAATTCACACGCTCCACTTGCACAGCCCAGGGTTTCACCAATTCAGATCTTGGGCGTGCACATGGCACCGCTCATCAAGCCATGCTGAGGTGGCATCCCACGTGTCACAACTAGAAGGCCCCACAACTAAAAATACACAACTATGTACCAAGGGGCTTTGGGGAGAAAAAGGAAAAATAAAAAAATCTTTTAAAAAAAAAGAATTCCTGAGTTTTGGGTTTGCATCACTGGGTAGACAGTGAGAGGGGAGAATTTGGCGTTGGAACAGTTTCAAGGTAGAAGGAATCAAGAATTCTGACCTCAATGTACCGTATAGGGGATGCCTAATAGGTATCCAAGAGGAATTGCCAAGTATCTAACATGGGGACCTAAATTGGTCAGTCTTATATCAAGCCACCTCATAGGCATTTGGACTTCTTCATATCTAATGAATCAGTGGTTGCTTTTTTTGGCTTAGGCACTGATCCCTGGGTCAGTTTTTCTCTAAGTAGCAGAGTCACCATAGCTCCAGGTATATAGCAGCTCTAGATACAAGAAACCATCTGTGGAAGCCTTCTGCAGAAGGGGATAGAGGGCCACAAGAATAGTCTAGGGAAAGAAACTAAGAGTATACATTCAAAATCTTAGTTTCAGTCCCAGTTCTGCTACTTTTCTAGCTATGAGACCTTAGGAAGTTCACTTAACTTCTCTGAGTCTCATTTTCCACCACTATAACGTGAATTTAATAAAATCTATTCTGGGGCCAGTCCCAGTGGCCTAGTGGTTAAATTCGGCACACTCCACTTTGGCAGCCCGGGTTCAGTTCGTGGGTGCAGACCTCCACCACTCATCTGTCAGCGGCCATGCTGTGGTGGCGGCTCACATACAAAAAGAGGAAGATTGACAGCAGATGTTAGCTCAGGGTGAATCTTCCTCAGCAAAAAAAATCCATCCTATTTTCTTCACAAGAGGGTTCTGAAGATCAAGTGAAGAAAGAGTGCCTAACTTGTCTGCTGTGATATAACCTAAGTTCTCATTTAATTCTTACAGAAACTCTGAGAGATAAATACTATTATTCCCCTTTTCACAAATGAGAAAAATGAGACTCAGAAAAGTTAAAATAATTGTTTGTTATCTTGCCCCTCCAGATGTGCGGGAGAGAAGAGAATGAGGTTGGGGTATTCCCTCCCCTGACTCCCTCTCTGTAAGGTCACTCTCGGTCAACCAAAGGTCACAAGTCCTCCTCCCAAGTGGCCTCTCCATATAGCTGTCTTTCATTCTAGGTTCCAGTAACCACTCCCTCCCCTTGCTCCCTGTGGTTTCCCGGTATGTTCTTAGATTTTTGTAAATAGTCTGTTTATTAAACCTCTCAAATTGCCCAATTTGAGAATGTCATCTGTTTCCAGCTGGGACGCTAACTGATACAATAATGTATCCAAGGAAATATAGCTAGTCAGTGATAGAGCCAGAATCTCTTTGGTTCAAAGGCCCCTCCTGTTTGAATCCCATTCTTCTAAAGTGGGAAGAGACTTGGTAAACTGTAAAGTACTACTTGAATATAAGATATCGTCAAATAATAAAGAACACCAGAGTTGAAAAGCAAAAGTGATACAGCTAGTTTTATTATTTCAAGGCACAGGAACACACCAATTGGCTGAGGGGGAAAAGAAGGTGTTTTTAATTGTTAGGCAGGGGTTTCATGGTTGTTACATTAATTAAAGATTGAAACAAATACTCTAAATAGGCTGGAATAAATCTGCAGTTCTGTACATGATTGGTTAAAACAAGCGCCATACTTCCTTGGTCAGGAAAAAAAATCTTCAGCTAGGTCCTGTAAGGGTCTTACTTTTTAGCTTACTAGGGTCATTCAAAGTTCACTGTTTATTTAACGGCTTTAGCTGGTCAGGAGAGTTGAAGCACAACACACTATTCAATGTGTTATCTCCTAGGCAAGCTCTGCTGTAAATGGAAGAATTTCCCTTTACGATATTGTCACGCAACAGATGAAGAAACTAATACCCAAATATGTTAGATGTCATGTCTAAGGTCATTTACACAACTGGGCTGTTTGCAGATCTGAATGTAGAACCCAAGTACCTAATTCTCAATTACTTTTTCCTGATATAATTAATGGGAACTTTTTAGATCTACACCTACATTATTCTTCTTCAAATCCTCTATAACTATCACACAGTGGATATTCAAGAAATATTTCCTGAATTGAATCTCTTGGTTCCTGCTGAATTTCTTCTTACTAATTATCTTAGTTTAGGCTGTTATAACAAAAATATCATAGATTGGGTGGCTTAAACAACAAATAATTATTTCTCACAGTTCTGGAGGCTGGGAAGCCCAAGATCAAGACACCAATAGATTCAGTATCTGGTGAGGGCTCTCTTCCTAGTTTGCAGACAGACACCTTCTTGCTTCCACCTCCGGACCCCCGAAATGCATATCCTCACATACAAAATACATTCATTCCATCCCAACAACTCCAAAAGTCTTAGCTCACTCCAGCATCGACTCCAAAGTCCAAAGTCTCATCTAAATACCATCTAAATCAGATATGG